GCGAAGAACAGTGTTTCTGTGTCCCAACTCCCCGAACAAAGCCATTGTCCCATGACCCCTTCATCTCCAATCACTGACATGTGGTAGAAACAGGTAAGTGTGGTTATATGAAAAGTTGAGCAATCATACTAATTGAAGATGGCAACCTAAACTCAAACTGAAATTATTTTATTTATTTATTTAAGATTTTATTTTAGTTTTATTAAAGTGTAGTTGACATACAATGTTACATTAGTGTCAGGCATACAACATACTGATTTGTTAAGTCTCTGTGTTATGCTGTGCTCATGAGAAGCGTGGCTACCCTGTCCCCATACATCACTGTGACAGTGCTTTAGACTGTATTCCTTACGCTGTACCCTTCATCCCAGGGACCTATCCATTCCATAACTGGAAGCCTGTACCTCCCACTCCCCTTACCCATGTTGTCCATCCCTCCACACACCTTCCCTCTGGCAACCTGCACTTTGTTCTCTATTTATGGGTCTCTTTTTACTTTTTGTTGCTTGTTCATTTGTTTTGTGTTTTTTAGATTCCACAGGTAAGTGAAATCATATGGTATCTGTCTTTCTCTGTCTTATTTCACTTAGCATAATACCCTCAAGGTCCATCCATGTTGTTGCAAACTGAAAGATCTCATTCTTTTTTATGGCTGAGTAATACTCCGTTATATATGTGCATGTGTGTATATATGTGTGTGTGTACACACACACACACACACACACACCATTTCTTCTTTATCCATTCATCTATCAATGGACACTTAGGTTGCTTGCATAACTTGGCTATTGTGAATCATGCTGCAATAAACATAGGGGTGCATATATCTTTTTGAATTAGAGTTTTTGTTTTCTTCAGATAAAAAAACTGAAATTACTGGTAGTTTACTAGATTTGTAAACTCACCTCCTTAAAAGTTGAATTGAGACTTCCTTACCTTGTCAAAAGCTGCACTACTGAAAATAGTAAAAAGCACAGAGAATGAAGCATGAACATATTGATGCAAGAGCTGAAGTTTGACGTTTTCTTTGTTAAAGTTTATCTTTTCTTTGTTCTTCGTTCCAGGACCAACTAGGTAGGTTCATGGTTTGATTAGGGTGAAGGAGGATTGAAGGAGATTTACTTTTCCAATCTTATCTTGGAAGTCAGCTTTAATGTAATGATACTTGAGAGATTTTGTTTCTGGTTGAGGGCTTTGTTGCTCAAAACCAACCAATGGAATTAAAAAAAAAAAAAAGGAAGTACAGCTTTTTTTTTTTTACTGATGAGCACCATTCACTTTCAAAATTCCAGAGACTCAGAACCAAGAAGGGACAAGGCATCTGACAGGTCAGTTTTGCACTTTGAAAATTCCTCTACCTCTTCCGCAATGGAAATATGCATAGGAGCCAAGGGGAGCCCACCCCAAAATGTGCCACTTTAGCATACTGATTATCCTAAGTACTTAAGAGGCAGTTGGTGCAAGAAGGACACTCAGACCCTCCCCTGTCCCCTGAAAGCAGGAAATATGTCTCCCACGAGAAAGTTATGCTCCCTGTGCCAGGAGATCAAGAGATATCCTTATCACCAGATATGGGAAATTTAGAGCCAAGAAGGCTGTAAACAAAACAAAACAAAACAAACCAACAAACAAAAACCTTTGCTACTTTTTACTAATTTACTACCCTAGTCCAAATTCTGTTTAGAATTCCCTACTAATTGAAACTCCCAAAGTTAATTGATTCCTTACAGATTTATTGTCTCTTTGTCTAAAAAGTATAAAAACTTCCAGCCTTGGTCATTTCTTTACGTTTCAATTTCATTATTGGGCCTCCGTGTGCATATAATAAAAGTTTGGTTCTTTCTTCTGTTAATCTGTTCAATTTAATTCTTAGTCCAGCTGGAAGACTTCGAAAGGTAGAAGAAGAATTTTTCCTTCCCTACATATGGCTTGGAAAAATGACAGTGCTCCACTTTCAAATGACTTATCTTTTTTGAGCCACTTCTTTCTGTTTCCATGACTTCAGGATTCCAATGTGTTTGGCTAAGGAAAGTGGAAAACTGAATGAGGGGAAGATGGAGACCACCAATACAGGCCAGACTTAAAGTTTTGCCCCTTGTCTCACTGCTGTACTCTATCTGAGCTGACTGGAGTTAAGCCTTGTGTAGTCATTAGCTGGTTGGAAAAGCCCGACACCCTGCGGCCATGTTTAGTACTACAGTTGCTTCTCCACCTAGGTGTCCCAATTTGTAAACTCTTCCTAGGGTTTGGCATGGCTGGATACAATGGGATGAAAGGTGTGTGTACTCTGTGTAAGTTGTTGTTGTTGTTTGTGGTTTTTTTTTTTTTTACATTTTTTCATTTTATACCTGTCTCACTATCTCCACAGAGTCATCCCTTTTGATCAAAAAGCAAGAGACATGCTCAGAGCCTCCATTTTATAAGCAGGAGAGGTTTCTCTTGATTTTCAGCTAGCACTGCTTGGGTAGCATCAGTTCAAGATCTTAGAAGACAGAGAAGTTGGAGGACCATGATAGGAAATTCTTTGCACTAAAAAAATTAATTTTTAAAAAAGTAATCTCTATGTCCAACATGGGGCTCCAACTCATGACCCTGAGAATCAAGAGTTGTATGCTCTACCAACTGAGCCAGCCAGGTGCCCCCCTAAGAAAAAAATCTAAATATTATTTTAAAAAGATAAAAGTCGAGGAAATTGGGAGACAATGTTGTAATAGAATGAATACAGAATGGGGAATCAGGAGACTTTATTTCTAGCTCTGATTCTGTCACAAACCTTATGTGGTCTGGGGGAAGTCATTTACCTTCCATGTGCTTCATTCCTATAAAGTTAAGAGGTTGGGGGTGTCTGGCTGGCTCACTTACTAAAGCCTGGAACTCTTGATTTTGGGGTCATGAGTTTTAGCCCCATATTGGGTGTAGAGATTACTTAAAATAAAGTTAAGAGACTGGACCAGACCATTTTCAAGGTTCCCTCTGGCTCTAAACTTCTGTGATCTGTCCATGGATAGTTTTCCTATGCCCTGCACAGTTGTGCTTCTGAGCACACAGAAACTGCTCTTTTTTCTCTCTTTTTCTTTCTTTTCTTTCTTTCTTTCTTTCTTTCTTTCTTTCTTTCTTTCTTTCTTCTCTCTTTCTCTCTCCTTCCTTCCTTCCTTCCTCTCTCTTTCTCCCTCCCTTCCTTCCCTTCTTTCTTTTAAAAAGATTCCATCTTTAAGTAATCCCTACACCCAACCTGGGGCTTGAACCCACAACACTGAGATCAAGAGTCAAACGTTCCACCAACTGAGCCAGCCAGGTGCCCGACTCCTTATTTTCACCCACTGCAGGTAGTCCTAAGATCAATCGTGGCTTGGTCACTCTACCATATCTACTACTCAATTGCCTGTGTCTTTTAGAACCAATATTTCACTCAAGTCGATGGGCACATACTGATCTTTTTTAGTTTGTTTTATAACCATTAAAGAATTGAAGTCATTGGCTTAATTAAACTGTTAGAAGAGAATGAATTCATTGGCAAATCATATCCATTAAAGAATTGAAGTCATTGGCTTAATTAAACTGTTAGAAGAAAATGAATTCATTGGCAAATGATGCAAACGATCTGGGACCTCTGAACAAGTTCTTATCTTGCCGTCTCTTAAAAAAGTCTACTCAGAAGTCTTAATGATAAATACAAGTTTCATTTGTGTCATTTTTTTTTTAACTTTATTGTTATCTTGATCTTGATGGCACAAAGGCTGGCCACCAGCAGGAATGTGATGGTATTCATGCTATCATTCAATAGAACCCCAAATAGCATCTACTTTTGAAGACACAACAATGGAGACATAAGCCCTGATAGGAAGAGCTTATAGCTTACAAAGGGACAAGAAGCTAGGCCAGCACAGAGGGCAAGCTAACTGGCTTTGGGGATTGGTACTGGTAAATCCAGAAGGAAGTGTATGAGTCAGCTAAGCAAGGAGGGGCTGGGAAAATTCATTGCAGTGAAATGAGAATTTATCCAGTACTTAATCATTCTTTTCAATGATTTGCCTTTTTCTAACCTCAAGATATTTGACTCTAACCCAACTTATTTCTAAACTCAAATTTACTTTGCAATTTTCAGTTTGGGGGAGTGATATGTCCTAGTGTCCGTCTGATGTAAGTACTCCTAGGACCTTGAGACAGATCCTTGCATTCTTTAGCCAACCCCATACTACAGGTTCAATGCTACACGTTCTTCCAGTGCATATCCCCAAAATCCAGGGAAGAAGCCACCTATGGATTTAGTTATAAGCTTTATCCCTGCGAAATAGGACGAGGGTTGAAGGCTTAAATAGAAGATGATTCGAGAACGCTTTGTCTAGTGAAAGAAGTCAGGAAGACTCTGCATGATTGTGAAGCTAGGGGAGGGGGTCCTGCTGGGGGCCCAGGACATGGGTCTTTTCGTCCTCTCAGCCCCTTAACCCTACCCCAAAGCCTCTCCATAAAATGGTCTGAAGCTATTTCATGCTATTTCGAGTAAAACAGAAGCTCTCCTAAGCAACCCCCACTTGTCATTTGCCAGCTTCTCTGTAAAACTCACTGGTGGATGTCGCAGCAAGCTGAAGACCCATGACTTTCTCCAGTACCCCCCACCATCTCTCACCGCTTATGTTGGCTGTAATTATATAAATTCAACCATGTATAAGCCAAAAAGAGAGGAATGCGTGTTGTTTCTTTTCCCCACACAAACATGGACTTCTTTTTCTTTTTTCTTAAAGCTCAGCAGTTCATCTCTATTTGTCTTTTGTTCTAACTCCTGACCACACAGGTACTGGGTTTTCTTTGAATGCCATCGGGTGACCTGGCTCCCAGCTGCTTCTTTGTACGATAGCCATTGTCTTCAGTCTCTTAGTACAGAATAGGCTTGCAGCATTAAGAATCCCTTCAGACACGTTCTCATCTCCTTCATGAGGGTGGGGAAGAGAGTTCTAGAAAACTATGCACTAGGTCCAACTCACTGAGGAACTGCAAGAGGATCAACTTTTAAATTTTCTTTATTTATAGACATTTTGGAACCATTTAAATCAACAATGAACTTTTTTAGACAGAACATACCATGTTTATCTTGAGGTACACATTGGGCCCATTAGATAATGCTCTGGAAAGTAACACAACCGTTAACTGGTAGTTAACACCCCCGGTTTTCCAAGCAAAGAACCTATAAAGACGGTTACAAAATTCTTTGAAAAGAATATACCCTTTCCATTTAAATCAAGGAAAACTCCCCCAATTTTTAATTAATTGAGTTCAATTTTTAGGCTTAGCTTAAACAATTATTTTAAATGAAACTTAATATGAAAATGGGAGAAGAGGTTGATATAGCTAAGAAATGATCTGAGCCCGAATACATGAGATTGTAAACAAAGGAAATTTATAATCTGATAAGCTCATTACAAAATTCATAGCCTAAAAATTAGACAGAGCAGCAAAATTACAGAAGATATTTGTACATAGTTTTAACTGATATCACGTTTACCCCTTGTTTCTGGTTTTCACAATGAGATCAATTTTAAAACACAAGTTTTAAAGACTAAAGTTTTAAAGACTAAACTGCAATGTGACTTGACAAGAAGGGGCCATGAGAATTCCACAATATTACAACCCCACAGCATAAAAAATCCTACTTTCCATCATTTGCATTCTGGGCATTTTACTCTTTTTGCCCTAGCAGCCCATTGCCTTTATATTACTAGATAAAGAGTGGGAATTGATAGAATGGTCATAGTTTCTGAAAGTCTCGTGTGTCCAATAGCAGATTTAACTTTTCTGGGGGACTGACATTGAAATTTCCTTTGAATGGTTCACGAGGTACTTTGGAAAATGGTTTTGTTTTCCAGTTTGTTATTCAAAATGTTAATTTTATGCTCTTTAGGCATGATGAGTAGTGACTTGTTACACAAAGTGTTTGGAAAATGAAGGACCCTCTATCCATCCACATCCACCCCCTGAACTTCTCAAGGAGTTGTATGGATGGTGTGCAGGTGGTTCTGGAATGTGAGCAGAGGGTGTTTATGCCTATGTCTGAAAACAGTTGGAATGGATTGTCATAACAGTTTCCCATAAGATTGTTTTATTTCTACATGAGACAAGAATAAACATAGCAATTTAGTCGAATGGGCAGCTTGCTGAAACTTCATAAACTTGAATGGTATATGTGGGTTGAAAGAGTGTAAATGTAAATTTCACAGTTCATAAAGTTGAGCAGCTCAACTTCAAGGAGAAATGTGCCGGCGTTTACAAGATTCTGAGAAAGAATAGGTCCGGGAGTGTGTGAGTTCTCCCTTCCAGCATGAGTTAGGTCCATATTCTACACTTTAGCTGCTTGGTTTGGCTTATTCCTGATTTTCTTTTCTGATGGGGGCCATGAATTTAAACCCCAAGGAGGGTCCTGTTTAGACAGACTCTTTCCCCCAAGCCCCATGGTCACCGCACTGACTGCAGGGAACCTGCCAGATATGCTCAGTCTTGACCTGGTTGTGTTAGCAAAAGTTCTGCTTCTGGGGATCTCTAGAACATCATTTCTCACTGCGAAACTGCAGCTCTTAGCAGGGAAAGGCCGGTTCCTCCCCGTCCCTGCACTGTGTCTCTTGCTGTGATCCTCTCTGCCTCTACGTGCCTTGTCTAGTCAGGGTGCCAAGGTCCTCTACAAAGTGTTCAGCTCAGGAATGGCAACTACATGTATCTGTGCCTTTGGAGATGCCAGAAGATAGTTATCACAGTTAAAAACATTCCTAATCGGTAAAAGAGAACATTAGCTAGTGGGAGTCAGAGATACTTTCAGCCTCTAACATATTCTAAGTTTTCACGATCACGTGGCGTTGATTTTCTTACCCCTTTAATAAAGCCTGCCATTTCTTCCATCTGTGATTCTTTGAAGACAGAACACACTTAACTCTCCATACATCCAACTGCCCAGAAGATTTCCTGTCTTTCTCACACATATGCAGTCTCAGCAACTGTGATTTTAAATATAAACATCATGAGCTCCAAGAGGGCTTTTTTTTTTTCAGCATTGTCGAGTCATACCAGCATAGTGCCTGGCAATAAAAGGTGCTCAACAAATTTGAATACATGACCCAAAGGCCATAGCGCCTGCCCCCAAGTAGTCTCTATATTGCCACCAATACAAACTCGATGTACACATGCCAGGACAAAAACCAGAAACTATTTGTGTCAAGTTTTTGCAAAATAAAACATAAAAAGAGAAACATAAAAGGAGTCAGCTGTTTATGTGGGGCAGCCTTCATAGTAAACCCAAACCCGCTCTGTTCCTCCCGCCGGAATCTGAGAATTGTGTCCAAGGGTCAGGTACTTAAAAGCAGACTCAGCAAGGATTTGCTAGAGAAAAACGTGCAGCGTTTCAACTGCATCCTCTGTTTTTATTTTAAAAGAAAGTGCTGAGAGGTTAATGTTGCCATGGAAGTGGTTGCTGACACAGAAGGATGTTTTTTTTAAACATGAAAGTCACTGAGGGGTCTCATGTCATGTGAGTGCAGGACCGGAAACTTCCATATAGATTTTTCAGTTACTTCTGAAGGGGCGCTCCAGTTTTCCTTATGGGATGCATTTTACCGAGAGTATTTACATTTTGGGAGATGTGTGAAGGGAGGAAAAAAAAATGCCTTAAAAAAAAAAGATTTAGGATGGAAAATGAGAAGAGGTTCAATTCACCTCAATTCTAAACCAGGAGATGGATTAAGAACATCTTTAATGTCAAGAAATAAAGCCATATTGCATATTGCATGTTGCGTTATCGTGGGTCTTGTCTTTACCTTTGTTTAGGTATTTTGGTGAGCAGGAAGACTGGATAAAAAGATAGAAGCCAATCCTGCAAGTCACATTGACGCCTGGTGGGCTGACCTCAGTCACAGATGTCTGCACATCCAGAATCAGACTTGGGGGGGAGGCAGGGCTAGGGCTGGTGGCTTGCTTGGAGAACTAGAACTTTTCTAAGATTTACATTCCTTCAAGAAGTCAACAATGATGATGAGGCCATATTTTGGAATTTTTAATCACATCTGTCAAGAACCATCAGAATAATGTCCTGGAATTCTTGGAATAAAAGTATGGTAATAATGTATTGTCTTTGGACGAGAGGAAAGAAGAGGCTTATGAACGAAACAAGTGTACTTACTGATACTTCATAAAAAATTACTCAAAAGATGAAGGTCGTAAGTCTGATTTTTGAGCTCTCCTGAAGCACAAGCGTGTGGAGAACACCTAATACACTCTGAGAAATGCTCTTCAGACCTCTTGCTGTTAGACACCGGGGAAAAAAGAAGACCCTCAAACCGGAGATGAATTACCCTCTGACAAGAAACTACCATTTTCCCAGACATCGGCATGCAAGTATTACATGCAAACCACCGCCCATGGGCTTACAATCAAATTTAATTCTTTAATACAGACCCTCTACTGATTTCTTCCAAGCTTTCAGTGATGAAGCCGAGTCAGACTGAGCTTCGAGGGGAAGGGTTCTGAGAATCTTTGGAATCATTCTGTCCACTCTTCCTAAGAGCGTCAACTTAGTTAACAGCCCCCAACCTCAATGGATCTTTGAAAGTGAACAGATGTTATCTAAAATATCAGACTAATAATGATGTTTAAAACATGTTTGTATTGTGTATACATATATACACATATATGCATATATTCTGGGTTTTTTTTTTCCACTGCTCAATAAAATTAGCAGCAGTTACAGATAAATTATTGTGGTCATGATTTGTATTATTTCATACATCCTCTATCAACATGTGACTTTTGGAAAATGCCTTTTGATGAAAAGATCCCCACCAAGCATATAACAAACAGTAAAGTGTCATTTCATATCACTAACATTTTCAGGCACAAGAGTAAAACAATTAGCACTGCTGAGCAATCCAAACAACAGAGCACAGAATAGTTAATTGTCTAAAGTCGATTCCCCCAAAGGAGAGAACTGTTGTTCAAAAAGTGTTTTTTTTTTTTAAGTTCTTTTTTGTTGTTTTGTTGTTTTTTTGATTCTTACGGTTTTCAGCTTTGGCTATTTTGTAATAAATATCATACCTTCTCGCATAAACCTACTTGGGTGAGAATTAGTTCTCTGAACATGCCTTTTGTCTTTGAGCAGCTGTTGAGTGATGTACAAGGCACACCTGTAAGTGTTCTGTACAGCATTTTTATTGATGTACAAAATAGCCTGTTCACCATTCAAAAACGTAATCTGCATAGTAAGAGTTTCTCTTATCCCTATTTACAGAGAAGGTTTTTAGTGCAAAAAACATGGAATTGTGTCCCAGCCCACCCCTTCTAGCACACACATTTGTCCGTTTTGTTCAATGCTAGCTGGGGTTATTTGGCTATATTTTGGGCCTCCAGCCGTTAATGAATTGCATTATTTTCTTCACCTGCAGTTTGCTCAATTTGAAATCCTCGGAGAGGATTTCTTCCGTCAGCTGAACGAGCAAATTCCCATCGATCTTTTCAGTAACGAAGAATGATATGACATCTTCAGACAAACCAATAAACCGTAACGACTTGGACACTTCTTCTATAGAGAGTCCCGACAGGTCAGCGGGCGGCTGCCATGGGGAGCCATCGCCGCAGGACCTGGGGGCCAGTTGGAGGTGGAGCGGAGATGAGAAAGGGTAGGTGACGGAGAAGATGTCCTGCATGCCCTTTTTAACAAAGTACTGGTCCTCAGAGAGGTCCGGTGACCCAGACTCGGGGTCTTCCTCAGCACCATCAATTTTCAGAGGCAAAGGAGAAGTGTCCGAGGCGGCTTTCTCTTCCACTGGTTTTGGAGCCCTGGGGGGTAAGGCAGGGCACGAAATACTCTGCTTGGTTGTGTCAGCAGCCAGAGTTTTCTCATCCGTGCTCTCCACAGAGTAGCTGGCCGACTTGGGACAGGCAGAGACGCTGCCGCTGAATTCTGAAGTGACGGAGCCAGGGGGACTGGCCGAGAGCTCATGGCCGTCCAAATCAAAGGGTGCTGGGCAGTTTCTCTTTGGTGTGCCTGGTGTCTTCTGTCGCGGGTAACTGTAGCTCCTGCTGGGACCCAGCAGGAAGTCGCTCCTGGTCTGGCTCTCCGACGCTCCCGAATAATGGTTGGGCCACGAGAGCCTGGAGGAGAGCGTGTCAGCAGAGGGACTTCCCATCGGGGACTTGAGGTCCACAGAATCAGTTTTCACGCGGTTGCAGGGATAGCAGGACACAGGCGCACTTTCGGAAGGACTTGTGTCGCTTTTAGGAACGCTGCTTAAGAGCAAACACAGAAAGGGAGGTGAGTCAAAAGTAGCAGCCAAATATCGAGCCGACCCTTATCCCCCAGATGTCACTTCTGAGTAGAAAAGGACAGCTAGGAAGAAAAATACAGTATTTCTTATCATGAATCCAATAAAGTATCTGCTAACTTCACCGGGTTTTAAAAAAAGTCTTTAAGTTACTAAAATTCACCGATAATTACACAGATATGAATTATAATGATTTAAAAGGTTATAGTAGAGGTGGCAAATATATATATCTATTTAATTTAACTAACAAGAAAATCACTGTGAGTGGGTCTGGATCTTTACGATGAGAAAAATTCTTTTTTTTTTTTTTAAGATTTTATTTATTTATTTGACAGAGAGAGACACAGCGAGAGAGGGAACTCAAGCAGGGGGAGTGGGAGAGGGAGAAGCAGGCTTCCCGCCGAGCAGGGAGCCCGATGCGGGACTCGATCCCAGGACCCTGAGATCATGACCTGAGCCGAAGGCACACGCTTAACGACTGAGCCACGCAGGCGCCCCACGATGAGAAAAATTCTTAAGCCATGTTTAGGCTTATCACCAATAGGTCGTGTGAATGATGAGTAATGTCTGCAGCAGGTCAGGGTGGCGTGAGAGCTGCAGATGGGGCCTCGTGCCTGTCATCCTTGGGCCATGTGACAAGACTACAGCACCAGCACCTATGACTCTATTTCCATCCCAAAGTCTGAGGTGAGAAGAGATGCGTCAAACACAATGCTTGCCTTGGCTTCTATTCAACTGAGTAAAACTAGCATAAGGATTTCAACGTCCAGAGAACAAAAAATAACTGCAAAAGAGAGCTATTTTACATGGTGAAGACCAGACATGGAGCAGTGCCTTCAACTTGGGGGCCATATTTTAAGAGTGACAGGGAAGCCAGGGTGTGCTCAGAGGTGGGGTGACCAGGCTGATGAGGGACCAGGCAGCGATGCCAGGGGAAATAGCTGGAGGAACTGAGGCGATCTCTCTGGAGAAGAGAAGACTTACATCTTAGCTGACTTCAAATTGTTCACGGGCTGACAAAGAGAAGCAGGGAGGATCTTTTTTTTTTTTTTTTTCCCAGAGGTAAGAAACAGTTGAAACTTATGTGGAGATAGATTTCAACTGGATATAGGGAAAGATTACCAAAAAAAATCACTGGCGTTTGCCAACGATGGAATGAGCTGCAGTGCAAAAGAAGGAGCTCACAGCACTGGAAGGATCCAGACAGAAGCGAATGGCTACCAGACCGCAGCGGTCAAGAAGGGATTCCCGTAATGGTTGGAAAGGCAGAGCAGAGCCAACGGGACCCTTTCAACTCTAGGTCCCGGTTGAAGTGCTGTTGTCTGCTTGTGCAGAAGTGGGAGTGGAAAGAACGAGAGGCTGGTTTGTGAGAGCTGGTGGCACTCCGTGGCTTGCTTTAAAGAGAATCCAGTCAGCCTTTATCGCGGACTTTCTCACCTACACCGTGGTTTCTTTTCTTCCTAGGACACTGGTTCTTCCATCCTCTCTTGAAACCAACAGGGGCCCCATCATGCTTTTCCAGCGAAATTCTTTTGTGTTTAAAGAACACTTCCTCTCCCACCTCCTGCCCAGGCTACAGCTACCCTTGGCACTGTTCTCCAGAAGCGGTGAGCTGGCCGACAAGAAGACGCGTGCCCTGGCGTTAAGACTTACATGTCGTGCAGCCCTGACGAATAGTAGGACAGGGTGGGGCTGGGAGAGCGAGTCTGCTGCCGAGCTGGCTTGGCCGTACGAGGAGGGACCGAGGGGCTTGTGGACAAAGGCTTTGCGCTTCGGGGTGGAACAGGAGGGGCGTTCAGGAGCCGGCACTCTTCCCTGACCTGGCGCGGAAAAGAACACTCTGGGTTAGCAACAGACTGACAACGGGTCAAGTTGCTACTCTTGAAACAGTAACGGCAGGGGCGTAAGGCGGGGTGGAGCGAGAAGACCGCAGCACATGAGGAGGATGATAAACACAGGTGCTGCCCGAGATCAAATCCACGCCTGTCACGAACTTGGCGGGACAGACTGATTTTCAAGGGGACTGCGTGGCAAACGCCAGTGGCCACTGAACCATGGCCAGTAACGTGAACGACAGTGAGTTCAAAGGCCAGTGACGTGTGAGCTGTGTAAAACGGAAGTATTAAGAAAATAAGGACGTAAGGCAATTATGATCTTAATAGAGGATCAAACTCTTCTACTGGGTTGTGTTTATCCCCTGTTCAAACTGAATTCAGTGTGATCCAAACCTTCGGGACTGGAGGCTCTTCTCCAGGGTGGAGGCTCCTTCTGAAGTTAGGTGCAGGGCTTCTCACTCCTAAGTGTGCATGTGAATCACCCGGGATCTTCTCAAAGGGCAGACTCTGGCTCAGTAGACCTAGGGCGGGGCCCAGGAACCTGCATTTCTAACTAGCTCCCGGGTGTCACGGATGCTGCTGGAACAAGGCTGCAGATGGAGTAGTGAGGCCGACCTCCAAACCCCAAACAGCACTTTTCATGAGAGCTGCCTCTGACTTCCTTCGGCTTCACCTGGGAGAGGATTAGGTGACCTGTGAGGTCCATGGCTTGTATGAGTCTGCGGGCTGTTACCCCCCCACCCCCCCTTTTCTGTTCCATTCACAGAGGCATTCGAGAATAGGGTTCTTTTTAATGAAGCAGACATTTTTAAATGTACTTCTCTGTGTCAGGCAGCAGGGGGCAGTTTATACCCGGTTCTGCTAGTCTACCAGAAGCCACACAGGTTAAAAACAGCCAATTCCGACTTCGTCAGAAAGGTCCTTGCCTGCTTTTAGGCCGTGTTCCCAACAATTTTTTCACCTTTGCCTTCAATTTCTTTCTGTCCCTGCAGCTCTGGGGTAATGAGGACAATGAAACAGCAAGCTTCCATTAGCTTTGGTATTGGGTTTGCTTAAGACCAAATAAAATAGGTTCACGTGCCATTGCATCCCCTACACCTACACGGCACACTGGGCCTCTAACTGGCTTCCCAGACCTGAGCCGCTTGCCAGAAAAAACCAGACGCTACGGAAAGTCACATGACCACGCAAACCTCAGTTCTAAGTGAAATGGAAGCAATTTAAAAGGTCTCATCTGTTGCATTTCTTCCTAGCACAGAGGATCATTGCTCCCACCCGGAGGACCCATAGCCCTGGTTATTGGGACCCACTGGTGATCGTTTTTCATTTGGAAAAGCTCTTTAGGCTGAAACGAAGTATTCTGAGCAGCAGATTCTCTTCTCCAATAGCTGTAGGCTTTTCCCTTTTGAGTTTTTAAAAAAGAGGTAGTGGATGACTACAGAAAGAAAATCTGGGAGGACATGGGTTTGGATAAGGAAGAGAGAGAGGATTATTCAGCTGGCTCGGGGCGGGGGGTGGGGGGCAGGAACTCCTGCACCACTGGAGGGTCTCCTTTTCTTTTCTTTTTTAAGATTTTATTTATTTATTTATTTGACACAGAGAGAGAGACAGCTAGAGAGGGAATACAAGCAGGGGGAGCGGGAGAGGGAGAAGTAGGCTCCTGGCTGAGCAGGGAACCTGATGCGGGGCTCGATCCCAGGACCCTGGGATCATGACTGGACCCTGGGATCATGACCTGAGCTGAAGGCAGACACTTAACAACTGAGCCACCCAGGCGCCCCCGGAGGGTCTCCTTTTCTTAAGGAGCTGAGAATCAACTAGGACACTGAAAACCTCTGGCCGGGTTACCCCACTGGCTGGCTTTCAGGAGTATATATTGGTTACAAAATAAGTAACCAAGATAGTGAGTCAGCTTCCGTCTTGTTAGTGATTTGTACAGGAGCCAACTATGTTTCTTTTCTTTCTTAGGGACTATCTATAGAATCTAGGATGGATGGGTGTTACTTTATTATACCTGTGCCTGATTCTGTTTATGCTTATGGTAACAGGAATGGAAAACGTATAAGATAAGGAGCCTGTCCTATAGCTTTTTAATTTTTAAAATAAACAGTCCCTTTTCAATATGGGTTAGAGAAAAGCACAGGAGAACATGGTTAATGCTGAATTTGATTTAGAAATTTCTAAGTTCTGGAAGTAGTCACTAACTGTGACGTTTCATTAGGGCTCACTTACCTAGATGTCAGTTATGATATGCTGAGATGTCCATGACAATATGCATTTTAATTCAAAGTAACTGACTGACTTAGGTCTTGGAACACAGAAAAGCGGCCACCTGTGACCTATGGGAAGTCCCCTCTTCCTGTTCTTCTAACTAAGGTCACTTTGAGCTGGTTCTGCCATCCTCTTCTATAATGGGGCAGTCCCGAAGAGCTTTCCAATAGGTTTCCCACATGAGAGGAGGTGTGGAGAGGAAGTAGTGGAAAGAAGCATTTGTAGGGCACAGGGCCCGGGGAGGTGAGCTATGGCGAACTGGAGTGTTTATAGCTAAACTCCAGACTATATCAGAGATAAAGGAAGTGTTTGGGGTGGCCACAGGACTCCTGAAAGGAGTAACAGAGTGTGTGTGTGTGTGTGTGTTTCTCGCTCTTAGGAGATGGGGTGGAGTCAGTGAAGAGATGCTACTAGAAGGCCAGAGAAAGGTTCTCTTCCCTTGTGAGGAGAGGGCTGTTTGGGTGTCATTGTGAGTCTAGTGGCAAAGAATCAGGCTGATTTGAAATCCATTTTGGAGAAAAGGTAGTTGAAAACAAAAACAAAAACAAAAATGACTTTAAAAAGACCTGGCCCATGACAAGAATTCAGGTGTAATTTTGTAGAGGTACAAAAGGGCCAGCTTGTGCTGCTCCGAGCAAGTGTGTTAGGGCCGCTTGGCACTCAGAACAGCTGACTACCTGCTCTCTACATGTTACATTTAACTTGTTACTTCCTTTCTTTCTATTTGAAAGATTTTGTTTTAAGTCATCCCTACACACAACCTGGGGCTCGAACTCACAACCCCGAGACCAAGAGTTGCATGCTCTACCAATGAGCCAGCCAGGAGCCCCCAACTTTATTACTTTCAACTTATTGCTGCAGATTCTCAAATGAAGTCATATGCAGTTTATGGGAAAAACTATACGCTTTGGTGAAATATATACATTTTGGGATCCAGAAGTTACAAATAGTGAGGGTTTACTGTGCCATCGTACTTCCTACCTCCTACGCCCTTATAACAGTAATTGTTCTACTTTGCTTCTTGATTGGATTCAACATGGAACATATATACCCAAGAGCAGTGTAGTTCTTTTTGAAATGAATTTTATCTGACAATAAAAAGCAATTTACAAGACTGGATGGCCAATCACCCTATTTCCAGTTTCCCTCATATTCAATTCCACTTTCAAGTGCTACATTTTCAGTGGATTCCTTGTAAAAGTCTCAGCATGTGGCTTTCATCACGTTACTTCCCATCTCCAGTGACACCCTCTGATTGCTGGATAAAGTTCAGTCTCCCCTGCTTCCCACTGAAGGCTTCTGCAGTCTTTCTGGCTATATTTGGTAGCCACAGAAATTACTCCTTCTTATTCCATCTTTCTAGTTATTTCTCCCACCACTCCTCTATATGAGCACAGGTCCATCCAAAGAGGCAGGTTCAGCGTCGCCTGGACACGCCTGTCCTTGACTGTTCCTCTCTGCTGTGGTTACTGCCTGTCTCTTCCTAAATGCCACTTCCTAAGGCTCAGTCCCAAACATTACATGCTTGGTCTGAGACCACTGCACGTGGCCACCTGTACATGTCACTGCTTCTGAACTCAGCTCACACTGTTTATATTTACTTACTTTCCATGTATAGTCAATTAGTCTGCAAGTGAAAATGGTAGGGACTGTCATTGTTGTTATTGGTACCCTGTGGATGACAGAGTTTGGGGATTCGTCACCTCGGGTACAAATATGTCCCACAGGGCGCCTGGGTGGCTCAGTCGGTTAAGCGACTGCCTTCGGCTCAGGTCATGATCCCGGAGTCCCGGGATCGAGTCCCGCATTGGGCTCCCTGCTCAGCGGGGAGTCTGCTTCTCCCTCTGCCCCTCCCCCCTCTCATGCTCTCTCTATCTCATTCTCTCTCTCAAATAAATAAATAAAATCTTGAAAAAAAAAATATGTCCCACAGAATGCTAGGTAGAGGTTAACAGATGTCACAAAAAAATACAACAAAAAGGCACTTTTATTTTAAAATGTATACTGTAAGAATGCCTTTTATATTTTTATGTGGAAATTGTTATTGATAAGTCATTTGGGCTGGATGTTAATTTTTTGTGTCTCCTCATATTAGCGTCGATCTCGAGAAAAAGTGCGCCAGAAGACCTGTCACATATGACCACGCTCAACTCTACCCCCACCACACTGGGCATAGCAGGAGTGTGAAAATGACAAAGATGGTATTTCTAAATTGGGAAATTGTCAACCCCCCCGAAAAATTACTACTCTCAATGAGGATATTACAGAATACAGCATGGCTGGCGGACTAGAGTCCTTCTCTTCCTGTCCAACACAACATGTAGGGCAGCACGGGAGGGTGAGGTACCTGGATTATCAGGAGTAAACCTCCAACACTAGTCCTGAGCGACGGGCTGGCGTTACTATCACAGATTATGCATGACCTTTGCTACTGGTTGATCATTTCTGGTTACGAGTAGTTTGGGTGTTTGAAGAGAAGCTCCTGGCTCCTGCTGGTTAGGACAGCGTCAACGAACACAACATGGACTCAGGTGGCAGCAGGGAGAGCTGGCTCCCTGCTGTCCCCAGAGCCTTGCTTCATGAATTCTCTGGTCTAAGCTCTTCTTTCCGGGGCGCCTGGGTGGCTCAGTCAGCTGAGTGTCTGACTCTTGATTTCAGCTCAGGTCATTACCTCAGGGTCATGGGATCAGCCCCGAGTTGGGCTCTGCACTCAG